GTTGGGATCTATCTCATCATTGACTCTTCTAATCTCTAATCAGCTGCTCAAGTCTCCTCATTTCCATGTCATGATCCAGTCTATGCCACTATTTATGTTACCTAGAAATAGCCACAGTCTCCTCAGATGCTCACTTAGCCTGTGTTATCCCCACTTCCACTTCCCATCACACGCCAACGGACTGTTACTATAGCAACCAAACTTATCCTGGCAAAACAGTCAATCACAGCACACAGGAAGCAGAAGCAGGCAAGGGCCACCTTAGATAACATACAAAGAGTTCCATGGCTACAAAGTGAAACCCTATCTCAAAAACCACAAAGTTGTGGCTCAAACTGTAATTCTATCTCTGGGAGGCCAAACAGAAGGAATAAGAGTACAAGGACAGCCTGAGTTACCCAGTGAATATGAAGCCAGCCTAGGCTTACATGAGATCCTGACTCTAAAGGACTTGAGAAGTGGCTCAGCACTTAAGAGAATATTTGCTCTTGCAGAGGACCTGAGTTAAATTCCCAGCTCCCATGCTGAGTGGTTCACACATGCCTACAAGTCCAGCTCCACACATGTCTCTGGCCCAAACATTGAGTCCACGGACACATATACATTTAACATAAAAATAACAACAACAAAATCTTCCCTGATGTCACTCTAAGCTACACACTGGTCTAATATACAATCTGAAAGAACTAGGTCCCTCTAACCTAATCTGCCAGTTCTCTAGCTCACTCATTCTGGCCTTTGCCATCCCTCAAACCCACGGACTCCTATTCCAAAGCCCTGCAGTCACAAGCAGTTCCCTCTCCTGTAAGGTTCTTACTCACCATCCCAACTCTTTTTTTTTTTTTTTTTTTTTTTTTTGGTTTTCCGAGACAGGGTTTCTCTGTATTGTTTTGGAGGCTGTCTGTCCAGCCTGGCCTTGAACTCACAGAGATCCTCCTGCCTCTGCCTCCCGAGTGCTGGGATTAAAGGCATGCACCACCACCACCGCTGGGCCACCATCCCTTAATGTAGGTAGTCCTGCCTGCCACCCTAATTCCAACCCTATCACCACTGACACATCAGACTCCATTACTACCTTCACGCCAAGATCCAACTTACTACACATATTTTAGTTATACAATCAGTCTCCAGCACTAGAACATAAACTGTGCAAAGGAGAATTTATCTGTTTGTGCACTACTCTGTCCCAGCACCTAGACACACTTGTTGCATGAAATTCCAGAGGCCATCTCCAGGACCAGTTCTGACTGACTTGTCTCCAAATCAAGCAACCCCAAACTTCTACAATTCTCCTATTTCCTCCATCACAATCATCATCACCTTGCATGAATCACCATAGTGACAATGTAGTTCCGCCTACAGCACATGATGGTCCACAGACGACACGCACCATCTACATCAAGTGTACAAGATTCCTCACTGGACTTGCCTCTGCAGCCCAGCTACCTACCCAGCAGTACGTCCTGGAATGTCTCCAACCTCCTTCTCCTCCCAGCCTGCATCATCTCACGTTGGTCCCTAAGTCTCCTTTTGTTCTTGCTTAGTGGTATTGGGAATTGTCTAGGACCTTGTGCATGCCAGGCAATCATCTGTCACTGAACTATATCCTAGCTCTAGTCTCCTACACAGAATACAGTACCCACATTGATTATTTTTAGAGTCACCCACAGCACTAGAGCCCCTGCTCAAATGAGTGTTAAAATCCACTACTCTTTTGATTCAAAAGTTTGTAGCCAAACTAAACCACGTGTGTGTATTTTCACTCCCACCCGGGAGGCCTCCTGTTTCTCCAGGCTCCATATTCCATGCAGCTTTGAGAGATCAGGGTCTGAAGGCAGATGATAACCCCAACCATGCGATTGGCAGGTCCTGTGTTCTAAGGCTGGTCCTACAAGAGGCCTGTAGACTTCCAACCTTCCTAATGACTCCCCTAGAGACTCAACAGAACACAGCTCATGTCCTGAGGCAGTATTTGCCTCTCAGTTCACTATTGTTTTAACAATAAAGGATCCCAGAATTTAAGGTGGCTCACAGGTGTTTGCTCACTACCAAACACAAAGGGATGCTGAATGCAGATCAACCAGACAGAACCAAGTGTCTGCATTACTTGAAAGCTCTAGACTGTAACCATGTTTACACGTGTTTCTCAGGTAAGTGTATATTCAATAGATCTGAACACTCCCACATAGTAATAATATACACAGGGAAACAAGCATGTACACCCCCCCCTTATATTATGGCACAGGGTTTTATGTAACCTAGGCTGGCTTCCACTGGATTTTGCAGATGAGGGTGACCTTAAATTCTAGATCCTCCTACCCTTTCCTGTGAGTGCTGGGATTATAGGCATTCATCACCATGCCTGGGTTATTATAACTTATACACTTCCTTATAGATTTTGATATTATACATTGAAGGCCCTCATTAGCTTCCTACCTAATCCCAATACACACCCTAAGTATTGATTATTCTAAACCCTGTACTTTTATCCCATACCTTACCCTCCCAGGTTTCTCCTCCTTGGTACTGCCTCACCTAGCAATTTCCAGTCTCAACAACAACAAAAACCCTGTATAACTGCCCAACAACCATCAACAACAAACATTCTAGCAAGCTATTTTGTTCTACTCCTGAGGCAGAATTTCTACAGAAATTGCAAGGCCTTTCTTAGCCACTTTCCTTAGCTCATATCATTAGGAGACAGACCACAGCTCTGGTCTGATGGGACTCCCTTAATGAATTCTTGCTAGGTAGGATTTCATTGTCTTTGGATAACTGCAGTGGTTTCCTTATCAGCCTTTTTGCAGCCTCACAGCCATTCTGTGTTTATTTGCTAATGAAAACCAGATCATGTCACTTCCCTGCTTAAAACTCTGGGATAGCTTCCCAATACACTCAACATAAAATCATTCAGTATAAAACCCTAAGTTTGGAGTCAGGCAGTGGTGACGCACGCCTTTAATCCCAGCATTCAGGAGGCAGAAGCAGGCAGCTCTCTTTGAGTTCTAGATCAGCCTGGTCTACAAGAGCTAGTTCCAGGACAGCCTTCAAAGCCACAGAGAAACCCTGTCTAAAAAAACCAAAACCAAAACCAAACAAACAAAAAAACCTAAGTTTGAAAGCAGAAGAGATGGCTCAGGGATAAGAATCCTTTGTGTTTCCAGAGAAACCAGAGTTCAGTTCCCAGCATCCACATCAGGCAGCCTACACACAGGCGCCTGTGGCTCCAGCTCCAAGGGATCCAATGTCCTCTTCTGGTATCCACAGGCACTGCAATCACATGCACAAACCCACACAGAAACATGCACAAGTACACAAAATTAAAAACAAAACAACACAAAACACCAGCATTCTGTGGCTGGCATGATGGCTTTATGGGTAAAGGTGCTTGCCATTACTCCGAAGTTTGATCCCTGGAACCCACACAGGGATTTAACTCATGTGCAAATAGTAACCTAACCACCCAAGTGTGTTCACACAGGGCTTAACCATCCAGTGTCAATCCATTCTCTATTTCAAGGCCTTCGTACTGTATGTTTCTCCCCTGGACAGCAAGTTATGTAAGAGCAGGAACTCTGTCTACTTTGCCAGTATCTCTGGTACCTACTTATAACAGACACTCAGTAACTACATTAATGCTGAAATTACAACAGCAGAACCGTATCTTTTCCTCCACTTCCATTTAATTGTGGGCTCCTCCAAACTAGCACTAAGTGTCATCTCTATAAGCCCAGTACTAGTACTCAGTGCAAAGAGCTGGTACTCAGCTATTTGATGAACTCATGGGAACTCACAACTTGGGGTCCTTTTCATTTGAATTAATGTACATTTGTAACCTTTCCTTTCTTGCTCTTTTAACAATTGAGTTGTGAAATTTTAACGTGGAGGGCTAAGATGTAGTCTAGTGATGAGAGTTTTGTCTAGTGTAAACACATCCCTGGTTTAACCCCCAACACTAAAATAAACTAAAACAAAAACCAAACCCTGTAAGGCAAAATTTCAATGCAGGACTCCTACAATTCCATTTTAATGAGAATCAATGTAAATAAACAGGCAGAAGATTCTAAGAGTCTTTATAAAACATAAATAAGCTTGTGAAATGATCCTCAGCACAAGTGACTTAAGAAATGCAAAATAAAACTACAATAGGGCTGGATGGTGGCGCACGCCTTTAATCCCAGCACCCTGGAGGCAGAGGCAGCAGATCTGAGTTTGAAGCCAGCCTGGTCTACAGAGTGAGTTCCAGAACAGCCAGAGAAAGCCTGTCTCAAAAAAACCAAAGCCAAAACCAAAACCAAACAACAAAAACTACAATGGGATAGTTAGAAACCCACCTGTGCCTAACAAGGCCAAATGTTGGCAAAGGATTTAAGATTCCTATAGTTGGTGAAAGTATTAAATGCGTCACCTTGGAAGACAGCCCAGCAAGCCTGTCAGACAGCCAAGTGTGTACCTAGCCAAGTGCAATTCCACTGGCGTATTTTAATCTAAAAGAAATGAAAACATCATGTCTGAAAGTTTTATTAGGACTGCTCACAGCAGCTTTAGTCATTGTAGCCTAAACTTGAAATGTCCCTAGTGTCCATCAATAGGAGAATGAATTGCTATGCTTATAGAAAGTCAATCCGCAACAGATCAATACCTGAAATCTGAATAAATCTGAAGGATGAAGCATACTGATTTTATTCATTAGATTTAGAATAGGCAGAAACTATCTATGGTGCTGATGCACGCCTTTAATCCCAACACTCAAGAGGCAGAAGCTGACAGATCTCTGTGAGTTTGAGGCCAGTCTGGTCTACAGAACTACACAGAGGAAACCCTATTTTGAAAAACAAACAAAAATAAAAGAATATGCAAAACCTAATCTTTGCTGTCCTCTTTTCTCCCCCAAGTGGGCATTGACTGAGGGAAGCCATAGAACTCTAGGAAAGGATGGTCTGTTGGGTCACAAAGGGTCTGCACTTAATTCCAACCACATTACTGTGGGCCCACTGTGTGGAACATAGCGTATGGGGCCTAACTCTGTGATGTTACTAAATCGGCCTGGCTTCTATTGTCAATGTCAGGACTTCCTGTGCAACCAAGGTTTCCTATTTTTTTCTTCTTACAGATCTGCCCCCTTTTCTTCCTTATTGGAATATTACTGTGGGGAAAAAAAAAAGAAAAACCTTAATAATTTGCAGCTTTCACTGGGAACTGAGAACCGCATCTACAATACTGTCACTTGGGGGTAAAGGATGGAAGACTAGGAGCTCACAGCCAGCTTGGGCCATGAGACTGTATCAGGAAAATGCACATGACACAGTATTCTCCCTCAGAGCAATTTCACCACCCTCCACCCCTGACGTGGCCGGAAGTCTCAATTGTCCTTCATCTCAACCCCTGGGATTGAAGGTAAAAACCACAATACCTGATAGCTACTTTTTTGTTGAGCTAAGTTTCCTTTAAATTACCTGGAATTTATGGCATTATTAATTTTTCAAGTCTTCTTCTAAGCCTATCCCTACTTAGAAATCTGTGACTAAAACTCCTAGTACACTTTTGACCACTGTTTATTATTATTAATAACTGCACACCACTTGTTTTGAGATGGGTTAGGCTGATTTCAAATTCACTAAGCCCCTGCCTTTGGCTTCAGAGCGCTGGGATTACAGCATTTGCCACTATGCCTTGTCAACAGCTATATACTTTACCCAGACTTACTTCTTATATAGTGTCATTTCAATCAACATGAGACTTTCATTCTAATCCCCTTAAATGTCACAGTAAGATGAATCAGTAAGGGATAATAAGAAAATCAGTAAGAGATCTGGCTTATGCATACTAGATCTTTGCGTACAGAATTCCTGTTCTATCAGGACCTTCAGAAATTATTTAAATTTAGACTTTAATGCTAACCCATCAAAGGGCAGGTGAGTTTGCGGGCACATCTGACATAGTTAACGTTGGTGTCTCTTCTTTGTGTTGGAACGAGTGCATTGGTGCAGATGGGAACACCTAGAAGGTAAAGGTCCAGCCTTCTCTGCCTTGTTTGTAGTCACTTGGGGTCTCATTCCCTTCAGCTCTCCTGTATTTGTTGTTTCCCTCTCCACTCGCTGCCAACCTCAGAGCTTTCTCAGCCCTGTATAATTATTATATATCCTCTCTTAAAGCAGCATCCTCCCAGCAGGGCACATCTGCAGACCCAGCAGAGGCAGGGCATCAAAGGTCTGAGTCCACAATGGGCTTACATAAAGAGACTCTATGTCAAGATTGTATAATTTGTAACATCATAAATAAAATGGGATTGACTATCTAGCCCACATTCTGTGACCCAGACAGAGGCAGAATTTGGTTTAAGTGAAATGAGGACTAGAACACAAATATTTGGACTCCTAAGTCATCCTTGGAATTTTGGTTTTTTTTGAGTCAGGATCGCCTGTGTGGTCCCATCTGGTCTGTAACCTGCTATATTGGTCAGATTGGCCTCAAATTTACAGAGAGCTATCTGCCTTTGCCTCCTAAGGGTCAGGATTAAAAGTGTGCACATTCATGGCTGGCCTAGAACTTTCTGGATTATAGTTAAACTCCCTTCTCTTTTGAGAAAAAAGTTTTAGATATTCACTATCAACCTGATGAAGACAAAAGTATGGACTTCCCAACAGTGAGCAGGCACCAAATACTACTCTTATATTTCTTCCTGTCCATCAGATGATACTAAACCAGATGGCACCCTGCCTATATAGTTTGGGCAAAATAATTAAGCCTCAGGTTCCTCAGCTGTAAAGGGGATATGATCGAGCTCTGAAGATTAATGTAAAAATGTGTGCACAGCTCTTACACCATCCTTAGGATCTGTGCTGGAATTGTCAGCATGTTAATTAGCCATCACCATCTTCCAAGCTTAACTCATGCATGCTGACTTTTCCAAGCTCCCCACAGCAGCAGCAGACAAGTGTATTTTTCACGTGTCTCCACCTTCTTGCTCTTTGAGAAACTTCTGGTAGTAGGGTGTCATATAGCCCACAATGGCCTCCCACTTACAGGAAAGCCAAAGACGGTCCTTATCTTTCTGCCTCTACCTCCCAAATGCTTAATTATAGATCACAAATTCTGTCAGTCCATCTTGGCTAGGCACTATAGACCTATATTAAATGGAAACTTGAAACATTTGGGAGAAGCTGGCATCATTGTACTAGACCAGACTCGTAAGAATCTAAAGTATTGTGTGAGCAGGTGGCCTTGGTAAGTTTCAGGAAAGACTAAAAGCTGTAGGCCTCCGGTTTCGCCTTGGGAGATAGCATAGCATTGTAGATAGGGACTCTCTTCGCTAATATAAAAATTATGTGCCTTTCATCTTTTCAAATGATATTCTTTTCCCTGCATTAGCAGGCTCTAACTGCTACTTGTAAACCCAAGAACAGACTGCTTCCTTCTAGGTTCAGTGGCGTATAACTCAGCACCAGATGGCTGAAAATTTGCTTATCAGTTCTTTAAGCTCAAGAGTTACCTGAGCCTCTCCACTTCCAAGAGCTTAACCAGGCAACTGTGCAATCCCTGTCTCCCTTTGTCTACCAAGGATTTGGTACAGATGTGGCACAGGCTGGCCATAAGCAGGTCAGTCTGAGGAGCAACAGCATGTCTTCAGACAGCTCACGTCATGCTCACACCTGATGTCGCCTACCTTGGCAAGATGGAGCAGCTCACAGGTGCTGGATCGAGTCTCGGAGGCCAATCAGGAAACCCTCCAGAGGCTCCAGAAGCACGTCCCACCCCTCGTCCCCATCCCAGCCGACCAGCCCTTCCCCATGAATTGACAGAGACGATGCCCCCAACACCACCACTTTTGTTGTTCCCTTCTCACTTCCTCAAGGGACATGGAGAAGGCAGCTGTTTCCTCACCCCTGAATCTCCCTCAAATTTTCAGAATTCTCCAAATTTAAATCAGCAGCTCCAAAAACATTTCTCACAGGTCACAAACTGAACCAAATTTCTTGATAACACAATCTGCAGAGCAAGCTGGCTTATTAGTCTAGATTCCTCTTGCCTCAGTTTCCCACGTGCTGTTATTACAGTTGTGCCCCAGCACGACCAAGTCCAAGTTCTTACTATAAAGTAACATTATTTATTCCCACGTGACTCAGGACTAAACAGTGAGGTTTATTTAGAAGCATGTATTTCTAAGCAGCCTATGTGCTATCCAGATTCTGGCAGTACTATAAAGCTTAAACTGTGTGTGTGCGCGCGCGCGTGCGCACGCGCGCGCGCGCGCACACACACACACACACACACACAGGATACCTAAGTGGGGAATTACAGCAGTTTCCCACCTTGTACTGGGATGGTCAGGAAAAGTCTGAAAGCCATGCATCCAACTCTAACATCCCTGAAGACTGCCCCAAAGCCAAACAACATCTCACTTGTGCTGAACCATTCACAGAAAAAAAAAATCTAGCCTGGAAATGGAGGGAAGCTAGGACTGTTCTAGCATGGAGTTCTCTCCACCCAGAGACTCTGAACACATCCTATACCAAACTTCAACTGCCCACTTCAAAAATCCTGTCTGATCAGTACCCGAAGATGAGGTAACAGGTAGTGCTTTTGTTTCCCCATGCTTACTTGGAATTGGAAAACTAAAATCACGGGAGCATTTTTAAGGGAGGCTCTTCCCTAGCAGACTGGGGATATTTCATAGGACCACTGCTAGTGACTTCAGTCGTCCCCCTCCATCAAGGAGAAACAGGTAACACTTGCTGTCATGAAGTATTTGAGCATCCATGAAAATACCGTTCATAGCTGGACAGGTTCCTAGCTCATAGCTGTAATCCCAACACCGAGGAAGATGACTTTTCAAGGCCAGCCTGGGCCACAAAGTGTGTTTAAAAACAGTACAGGCAACAAGGCTTCAGGCGTTAGTCTTCTTTTCTTTATAGATTTCCCTATCTATAAAATGAGAGTGGTGAGGTAACTCTAGGAGTTAAGCTCACCCTAAGAGTGATCAAGAACAAGGATCCTTGATGGTGGGTACCTATGTATATCAATTCTCTCAGTAGCACTCACAAATGAGTAAAATGTGCCTTTGGGTCTTGGTGCAGCACCACTTCTGCTCCTTGTTTGCTCAGGGGACATTTAGGACAGGCTTTGATAGAGTGACAATGTGGGGTTTCCGCCACAGAGAAAAGAGAGGGGTCACAAAGCAGCCAAATCAAAACTGAAGTTCCATGCTTTTACCTTCTGTTCAGGACCAAACGCATAAAGATTTTCAAAAGAAATTAGCTAGCTGGGTTCACAGAACCATAGATGCTTGCCACTGGATAGGATAATTCAAACCCTCTTTTATAGAACAGGCCAAAGGACACATTTGCCATGGGTCCCACAAACTCATGGGAGCAAAGGGGTTTTCTCTGTCCCATTCTGTCACTAGTTCATATCCAATCTTAGATGGTCCACTATTGTGTCTCAAATGCCTCTTCTCCATGGCCTATACTAACTAGACTTATACACAGATGTAAAGGAAGTCCACATCCACCACAACCTCATTACTGGAACAGGAACAGAGGACTTGCTGGACTCCACATTCATCAAAGGGATAAATTTTACACAGCAAACACAAATAATAAACATGTATGATAAAATTCATCTCAGAAAGTGACTTGCAGTAGCTACCTTCAAAAGTAGTAGTCTTTTCTGTCCCTGTCCTACGCTGCTACAACTTGCACATTCAATGCCTGTTATGTGGGTTGTTGTGAGACCTTCTTCCTGAGCATCATGAGGGCAAGGGCATTGCCAAAAACCATTGCCTCCCCAGTGTGCATGCAAGTTGAACAGCACAGCAAACCAAAGACTGTGGAGAAGCAAACTAAATTTATTCATAGGGCATGTTTCCCTACTCCGCACTGGAACAATTCACTTGGTTGGAATATGTGGGGGATCTTGAGATTGTTCTCTAAACCGTCTGTCTGGAAAACTAAAAATTTCAACAGGGAAACTACAGTACAAACATAAACTAGTTTCACATGTGTTAAGTGTCAGACCATCTTTATCAACTGGCCAACAAGTCATTACACAGTTCCGGTGGTACATTCAGTTCCAAGTACAACTAAGCACTCGTGTATGAATTTAAGAATCTAACCTCTTGAGAAACAGGCATCTTTCTGTTTGACTTCCCACCATTTAGCCCTGTTGTGTTCAGCACACAACACTGCCCCAAAAAATTGTAGGACAACATATACGGCTAAGCTGCAGTTACATGAAGCTCAACAAAGTGGAGTCTCACCATGAAGAGGCAAAGTGGTATTTACTGTAGTAAACAGCCACTTGGGCAAGTCTATAGCCAAGGGCACTGCTGGTTCCATAGATCCCAAGGGTAAAGGGAAGAACCTAACCCTATGGAATACAGGGGAGGGAAGCCTAACTCAGAGTGGAGCAAGGCACAAGGAAATCAGTAGTGCATGTTTGGGCATGTGTTAAAGACTGTTCAAGCAGCTTGACTCCTTTATCCTTTTCTTCCCCCACTTGAGACAAGGTCTCACTATGTAGTCCTGCCTGGCTTGGAAGTCACTATATGGAGCAAGCTGATCCAGAGTGCTGGGATTAGAAGCATGTACAATGACTAGACTTTCCTAAGAGTGAAAAATGCAACAGCTAGTGTATAGCAGCACAATGTGGACACTATTTGGTATGAATCACATTTAACTATCTTTAGCAATCAAAAATTCCAAGTAAATGCTCTCTCCTTGTCAGGCTACATCCTGCTGAGACCCATCACCTAGCTTCCAGCTGATTTAGTTACTATGTGAGTAGGCAAAAGGAAAACTGGTGGTGGCGGCAGCAACACCTGGGGTGAGTTACGGGGCTGCTTCACCTCTGTACTTGATTTTTCTTCTTCCAGAGTAGGAAGAGACTCAAAACTAAGTGTTCCCTAGGCCAGAGTCTAGGTGTAAAATGGGGGGGGGCAGCACACACAAATTGTCAATTCAGCCATTCATTACTTCTCTACAGCTTATGCGCTGAATTTTATGTTCTAGCCTCTCACTGGAGGGAGGTCCCTGGGACTCAAGAGAAATCGAAGGACATAATTAATAATATTTTTCTCCCCTAATATACAGTCTCAGTGTTTTTGAAGTGTTGTCCTGTACCTGGGGCTGGGCTGTTTACATCAGGGTAGTGTCTCCTGGTTGTTTATTGTGATTTATGTTGATCAAAAAAAAATGATGCTTTTGAGACTCTGACATACAACGCAGCTCAAAACAGCACAAATAAATTTAGATAGCACACTGAGAATTACCATTTAATAGATGAACTCGCTTATGTTGTTGAACACAAGTTTTTTTTTTCACAGAACTGTGCCTACTGCACATGTGCTACGACAGAATTCCTCAAACTACCTTACAGTAAACCTTCATGAGCTTTCAGAATTTACGGTAAAGAGATAAAATTTTTAGTTGGGAGTAGTAGTACACACCTTTAATCCCAGTATTTGGGAGGCAGAGGCAGGGGGACCTGAGTTCCAGGATAGCACCAGGGATGGGGGGATCTATATTTAGACCCTATCATATCCCTGAAGTCTACTTTGGGGAGAGTAGTGATAAGTATACAGAACTGATACCCTTTCTTCCAAAAAGATAGAGAACTGCAAACAATGAATTACAGAAGTGATCTCTCCTAAGCCTGCCCCTTTCAGATGAAAAAGCCACACTGTGTATGTGGGACAGCTGATCTCACTTTCAAATGCTTTCATCTTTCAAATGCTTTATTCAGCCTCAAGACACGGTAGCCTGTATCTGTTGTCCAGTTATTCCATAAAAGCTGAGGTGAAAGAGTGCTTGGACCCATGTAAGCTAGCCTGGGCAATATGGTGAGACCTAGCCCTGCAATAAAATCACTTCATTGATTCCTGGAATTATGTTATTAGTCTAAGCTTGTCTCAAGCGGAACATGTAGCTCAGTGGTAGACTGTCTGCTCACTTTCTAAAACACTATGAAAATCAAACACAAGCTAAACTCTTATGTGATAAAGATAGAAATTACGAGCATTTCCCAAGAACGTTGGTTGTAGGGAACAGCCCACTAATTCTTGCGACTCTTAACCCATCCTTTTAAAATATAAACCAGCAGTTTACAACAACTTCCTTTACTAACTTTCCTAAATTGAGCAAATGTGAAAGGGACAAAACCCAGAACAGCAATGTCACAAAGCAGCAATTGCTTTGGCTCCCCTTTCTTCCCAACCTTAAACCCATCACACAGGAATACAAAAACAAAACTTTAAGTAGGTGAAATTAAGAATCATCTACTCCAAGCATGTCTTTACCCTTTCCCACTGCAACCAGCATTTAAAAATGAGAGTTCACAGACCCCTTGGAGACTCCTGGTGAGAAGGAATATCTGGTCCTCAAGTTCTTTTCAAACCCACAAACGAAGCCATTAGCTAGCAAAGCACACACAATAAAAATGAAATTCTGAAAACGAAGCTCGCACATATTTGACCTAGAATCAAGTTTCCTCCCTGCCGTCCCAGGCATCCTCTTCTTTCCACACTTCAGCATTAGGCGACAAGAATACACAACCATTTTTACCTCTAAAATCACCAAGTCCACATTTCCAAAGGCACCAATATTGTCATGAGTTAAAAACTGTACTTTTGTGCAGTTAAAGCATTCAAAGCATCAGCCTTTATTTTGTGACAAGTTTATTGAACAGTATCCAAGACTTCTTCTTTATAAACAAAAACTGCTAAGTGATGCCAGAGGAGGAGGTGCTGGCAGTGCTGTGGTCACACTGTCAACAGCCTCTTGGCTGCCCTGGGGTTCTAAAGTTTGGACTACAGAACTGCCAATAAAACAGCTCAAGGAAAATACTTTACACATGGCATTGTAAGTGGGAAAGGACTCAAAGTGATCATGTCCAGAAACTCTCCCCCAAAATGGACTAGAAGTCATTTTACATGTTCTCTCATTTTTCCAGTGCTTTTAAACTGAGTGCATTTTATTTTCACACACGTGTACAGTCACAGAATCCAGTAAAATGGAGTTTGAGTAAGCTTTTGTGTTTCCTTATTTTTGTGCAAAGTGACCATTTCCTCCAAAATTGTGTATATTTGCTTACTTCCAAATATATACATACTCCTAGATTTGCATCAAGCGTGTGAAGACTGACCTTAACTACACTGAATATTGGATCTGTAAGTTTGACATTTCCTAATGCAGGAACTACATTTCACTAAACACTGTTTCATTAAAACAAAACCCACAACAGCCACTAATAATTGTACATCTAAACTAGTATAATCACAGAAGACACCTCCAAATTTTGCTTATGAGCTAAACCTGTCACTGAAGTTCAAGAAAATTTACAGATTTGCTTATTTATAAAATACATTTGTAGATTTCACTAATCCTTTAAAATCAAAAGAAAAATAAACACCAATAAAAACTCAGGAGAAAACAAATTAAACCTAATGAAAAAGATTCTCTTCCATTAGTGTCAAAGTCACCAAAAACAGACAATAAGATTTACACATGAAATTAAGAATACCTTGACAGTGTTTACAAACACTCTGAGCAAACTTTACAAAGCCTTCATTGCCATACAGATGAAAAAAAAAAAATCAAGCAAATTCAATCTATACCAAGCCTAGGTCTGGAGAAAATGTCTGTCGAGAGGTATGAATAGTTCAAAGAACACATTTTCACGGTTATTAAAACAAAAACTGAAACTTCAATGCCCAGAACAAGATAAAACAATATACTCAGCAGTTAGGTCTGTTAATAGTCTCAGTTATACAAAAACTGAAGTTCCAGAGGGCAGAGTATTAATCACATTTCACAACAAGCACTGTTGTGATCCAAGGGAGTGCAGAACACAGTTCTGATTTCCACACCAATACTATTTTCTTAATTTATTTAATGAACAGTGAGATCCAAGCTTTTCTTTTTAGCATTTATCTAAGATGCAGAAATAACAGTTGCAAATGAGTGAACGAAATATTTAGTCAGTGTATAGGAATATACAACCAAAATAACTTGTGAGAAAGGATAAAAGATTTTCACTTCCAACAACCAATTTTTCTAAAATATAGCCAGCTTTCCAATGGGGAAAGTAACCTACAGCTGAAAATAAGATGCCCAAGTAGTTCTGAAGTTCAGTCTTTGGAATGAGAAATGATTACTTAACAAAAAACATCACATAAACATATTTTTGAGGCAGTCTCTGTCAAGCAAATTTTATCTGTTGAGTTACTAAGTGATTCACAATGCAGCCACTTCTTTTCAAAGTCTGCCCAATCCTTTCCCTAAACAAAAACTCCACTTTCAACCCTCCAAAAACTATAGTAGTGAATAGGTTTTCCAAACTTTATCACAAGACTGTTGCCATTCAGCTCTACAATTACACGACGAAACTGTATTTCAGTGTTTCGCTGCCTTAGAACACCAAAAAGGCACTGGGTATAGACATACAGAAATGTCTGTGTGTATTTATGTGTATATGTATATATACATACACACACACGTATACATATATAAGTATATACAAGAAATGTCTCTTTTAAAAATACAGACTTGTAAATAATGGTGTGTTTCAAACCAAAACAAGGCCATATGAAAGATAAAATTAATTTCCCATGATTATTCATTAATTTCCAACTCTGTTAGGTTAATGTGAAACAGCTTTCAAACATTTTAAATAAAGAAACAAACTCTAGACAGAGCCTCAGGTGTTAGTGAACAAGATGTGATAAACCAAATACTTTTATGACAAGGATATTTAGCCAACCAATCTATGTGATCCCCTACTTTGGTGCCAATTGCCAAAAGGAAAGAAAATGAAAACGCCAGGAGTGATCTCAGCTCTCTCCTCTGACAGCTGTACTTGTACTCTGCATAAAGAGTATTAGTGAACAGGCTCATGATCGAACAACTACACCAAAAAGCCTCCAAGTTAACAGAATTAAACACACATCAGCCCATGGTCCAACTTAGGGATCTTACATTCTACAATACTACTGCTAACAAAACTACCAATTTCAACTTCAGTTTTAAACCCCAAGATAGAATGCTCTTTCTTATGGACTCCTTTGTTCCAAAATGTCACCTAAATTGGGGTAAAAGCCATTTGCTATATTAGTCCATCACAGAAAGGACTTCAAATCAAACACCTAAACACTGATTACCAAAATGGTTTCTGGTTTTCATTGCCATCCAAACAATATGAACAATCTTAAACTTACTAAACTAATAAAACTTGGTGGTTAAACCAAAAAAGGCCAGTAGAGGACTACATACTTTATTTTTATGGTAAAAGTCATTCCACACAATCATAAGTGTGACATTAGAAATCAAAGTTCAGGGTTATATAGCACAAACCAAGTGTGGAGCTTTTATATTAGAAATTAATTAAAAACCAACAAAATAGTTGTACTCATTACAAGTGAGTCAATTAGGCAAATAAAGTGGCAATATCTGAAGCAGGACTGTCTATACAGCAAGAACCCTCAAGAAGCAATAAAGGTACATACAATGAATCCATATACAGACTTTATTCAATTTAAAAAGAAAATGTAGGTTTTAGACAAAGCTTTGACCCTATAACAAAGCAAATATGTCCAACTTTAAATCAAATTGCAAAAGTAGCCAACTTGTAATCGTCAGCAACTGGCAAGAGCACCCTCCTCGAGCTCTACTTATGTTTCTATTTTCTTCATCCCATGTGGTATAAAAGAAAACCAATCTAGATTTCCTTGATAAGCTTTATATGATCATAGTTTTAGAAATGGTTTCTACTGGTATGCCAAAATTACTTTTGTGTTCTCTCCAGATAGTTTTACATAACAAATTGTTTATTCTGTAAGTTGTAAACAGTCAACCAATGCTCTGTGTTATAGAAACCAATCTATCTGCAACTGAAACAATCCACAGGCTCTAACCTGGAAATACTAGGAAAACAATCTGGATGCATTAATCACAGCAACATGAAGATATACCCTATGAAGGACTGATATGAACGACTACCCTAAAACGAGCTTTACCTTTCTTGAACCTATAGGCCTATCATTTAAGTCAATGACAGCAGCTGTGGCTTCATCCCGAGATTCAAAGGCCACCATGGCTTCACCTGTAGGCATACCTTTTTCATTGTATTTTAAACATACTGAACCTGGGATTACCTGATAACCATAAAAGAAATCTAAAATTTCATCAATAGATACAGTAAATGGCATGTTCTGCACTTTAATTATTGTAGGTCCTGGTTTTCCAGAGCTAGCTCCAAAGCCAGGGGGACCCCCAATATGTATTGGGCCAGGCCCAGGCCCAGGCCCAAAAGCTGGAGGTCCACTCAAATGCCCAGGAACATTTCCAAGACCAGGGGGTCCACTTCCAAAACCGGGAGGAGCATTTAAACTACCAGGGCCATTTCCAAAATTC